GCTGCTGGGGTCTGGCTGATCGGGACTGAGTTAGTTGGGCTGGACACACCCTGGAGCCCTCTCCGGCTGGCCAACCTCCCGCGTCCCTCCCTAGCCCCAATTGTGCATTGGTGGGGTCCCTCGGCCTGGCCTGTGCCCTCTTGCAATCTGGGACCCCTTGGAGGATGTCAGAGAGCCAGTTTCGGCCTAATTCCTGCACTGGGCCTCTCGTATGTATATAAGAAATATATATGAGCATATATGTCTGTTTATATGTGTATATACATGTATGTATTTGTATTACATGTGTATATAATATATACTTGTATTACCTATGAATATTTTTATACACAGAGAGTGTGTGTGTATATGCAAATGTGACAAAACATTAGTTTCTGAATCTGGGCCAATGGTTCTTAACTGGGGGTGATTTTTGTCCCCCAGGGGACACTTGGTGATGTCTGAAGACATGTTTGGTTGTCTCAGTTGAAGCTACCAGCATCTAGTGGGCAGAGGTCAGGAGTGCTGCTAAACAGTCCACAATGCACAGGACAGGCACCCACAACATGAATATCCAGCCCTAAATGTTATAATAGTGCCGAGGTTAAGAACCCTGGGCAGCCCTAGCTGGTTTGGCTCAGTGGATAGAGCTTCGGCCTGCGGACTGAAGGGTCCCGGGTTCGATTCTGGTCAAGGGCACATACCTGGTTGTGGGCTCGATCCCCAGTGGGAGGATGTGCAGGAGGCAGGATCAATGATTCTCTCATCATTGATGTTTCTATCTCTCTCCCCCTCTCCCTTCCTCTCTGAATCAATAAAAAAATATTAAAAAAAAAGAACCCTGGTCTGCGTAAAGGGTCTGGGGAGTCATTGTTCTTTCTTTCAACCTCTATGTCGGCTTGAAATTTTAAATGCAAAGTAGGTATAAAAAAAACGACAGGAAGGTGAGGACGTGAAGAAGAACGTATAAGCACATTCTTTCCAGGATCTTGCTTATAAAGGGAGGAATTACAGCGACAGAGAAAGAAGGCACGCATCCTGTCAACCACACTACCACCCCTGTCCCCCATGAGGAATCACCCTGGTGTCTGTGTTTCACAATTCCTGACCAGTCATACCTGTACCACTCCTCAGGCATAGCTGATCGGACCAGCAGGAGGCGCCTGACCCCGCCAGCTCATCCACTGGCTGCTACCACAGAGCCTGGTCCAGGGTCAGACAAGGCAGGTCTATCAGACTCTCTTTCCTGTACAGACCAGAGAACAAGGCACGTAGGAAGCTGACACTCGAAGGAAACACAGTGGAGTCACAGGGGTCACGGCAAGCTGAAGCTGTGGAAGATCAGAAACCTAGAGTAAGCAGAACTTAGGAGCAGAGAGCATTGGGCACAGATGGAGGCTAGAGTCAGCAGCTGGCAGAATCGGTGGTCTCACTGCAGTGGCACAGGAGTGAAGGACCGTCGCTGCTGCCGCCGCTGCTGCTGCTGCTGCTGAGCTCTCTGGCACCGTCTTGGATCCTGGTCCCAAGGGGTCTGGTTCCCCCCTTGTCATTCTTGTTGACTTTGCACATGCTCTGCCCCCTGTGTAAATCAGTCCTAGTTAGTGCCTTCCAGGGGCAGGTCCAGCTGTGTGGGGCCTAAAGCTTGGGAGACCTCTTTAAGAAAAAGAAAACAACAGCAAGAATACAAAGTCACTAGGGCTTCATAGCTCACGGGGAATGCGTCCGACGTCTACTCCTCTTCAGGTCTCAACCCCAACATCACTTCCTCGGTAACATCTACCTGCCCTCTCCCCCTCCCCAACTGGGCTAAATCCCTCCATGTTCAATTCTGTGCAGTCCCAAACAATAGCCACTAGCTACATGTGGCTATTTAAATGAATTGCAATTAAATCAAATAAAATATCCCAGACCTTCAGTCTTCACTAGTCACATGTGGCTTGTGGCTATCATTTTGGACAACACAAATAAGGAACATTTCCATCGTCTCAGAAAATTCTGTTGGACAGTTGCTAGTATATATTACCATATCACTAGTGATGCCACCCCCCCTCCCCCCACCCCACCCCCCACCCCCGCCCACCTCAAAACTGTTGGCCTCATTGCTGTCACCCCAGTGCCTGGCACAGAACAGGCCCTCGATAAATATCCATAGAATGAATGAACGAATGAATGAATGTGCCATTCTTACTGTTCCACACATCTCCTTTCAAACCTGCCCCCAGACTTCAGCCAGCCCTGCCCATGCTTTTTAAGCAGGGAAAGCGCCTCCCTTTTCCGGGCCGCGGGAAGCAGCTGGCGCAGAGAGCGAGCTTGAAAGTCTGGAGAGCAGCTCTGACAACATTTTGACATATTTGGTGTATTCTCGGGCTTTTTCCTACATGGTGATATGAATATATCCCTACATATGGGAGAGTTCGAATGTAAAATTACCTGTTTGGGATGGTAGGATACGGAAGCGTTCAGGGAAAAAATGGCAGGTACGCGATTTGCTTTAAGCTGCTACAGAAAGAAGCAGGGGGTGCAGGTGAATAGGGCTAAATGGGAGACGGTGTTGGAGCGGGGGGGGGGGGGGGCGGAGGGGTTGTACTCCTTTCTACTCGTGTGAGTTTGGAAATGCTTCTGAGAAGTGAATTTCCAAATGTAAAATAAAAAACAATATTCAGCCGTCAGCTCTTAAAGTTCCACTAGTAGTTGCTTCTCTTTGCTTTCTCGGTTATGGCCTCACTTTCCCTGGGGCAGGGGGGCCTCGGGGCAGCTTTGTGCTGTGTCTGTGCTTGCAGGGTGGGCCGCATCGCTGAACACCGCCCCTGGGTTACGTGTCTTGGTGGTCAGCTCCACAGGCTGGAGACACGGAGGTGCCGGATCAGGATGGTCACTGTGGTGAAATGCCCCTTGGGAGCCTTGTAGGGCTGGCGGACTGGACACAGGAAGAACCTTCCACAAGGAGGAGGCTTCAGTAAGAAATTGGTTCTATTTTGAATATTTTTTAAAAATTTTTTTATTGATTTCAGAGAGGAAGGGAGAGGGAGAGAGAAATAGAAACATCAGTAAGAGAATCATTGATCAGCTGCCTCCTGCACGCCCCCTACTGGGGATCAAGCCCCCAACCCAGGCATATGCCCTTGACCAGAATCGAACCTGGGACCCTTCAGTCTGCAGGCTGACACTCTATTACTGAGCCAAACCAGCCAGGGCTGAAATTGGTTCTGTCTTGAACTCTTCCTGTGCCCTTACAGAGGAGGAGCTAGACTCAGAAACGTGTCGGGTAGGGACACTTTCCCCTAAAAGGGAGATCAGCTCACCTGCTGAAGGCGAGGTCCAGAGAGGGTGGGTAGGAATGGTGATGGGGGTTGGAATTCGAGTAAAGATGAAGTGCTCCAGATGCTGCAGGAAGGGGGGGGGGGCACAATGTGCTCTTTGACAAGTCCCCCAGGTGACTGGATGCACATCCACCTTTGAGAAGGACTGAACTAGTTAGTGTATCACAAACAGGAACCACTAGACCAGGGGTGGGCAAACTTTTTGACTCGAGGGCCACAATGGGTTCTTAAACTGGACCGGAGGGCCAGAACAAAAGCATGGATGGAGTGTTTGTGTGAACTAATATAAATTCAAAGTAAACATCATTATATAAAAGGGTACGGTCTTTTTTTTTTTTTTAGTTTTATTCATTTCAAACGGGCCGGATCCGTCCCGCGGGCCGTAGTTTGCCCACGGCTGCACTAGACACAGCCCAACAGTCTCTAGAAGTGGGGGAAGGCGCTCCCCATTCCCAAAGCCTGTGGGCAGAGAGCAGAAAGGGCCCCCCTCCCAGTTAAGAGGAGCGCCAACCTTCACCGGAGTGAGGGCGCCTCTGGCAACTAGCCAAGGGCACACCCGGGATCTGCACAGACGGTGCAGCTCCCAACTCATGTGGGCTGTGAGCCCCCCACTTCTCTGGCACACAGACTCCTGTGATTTCCTTTCTTCTCGGATCTCATGAAATCCCGAGTCCTGGGCTGCAGCCCCCTTTAGCCGGCGACGTGAATCTTTGCGATCATCACCAAGCAACCTGCAGCATCGTCTTAAGTAACTCAGACACACTAGATCAGGGGTCCTCAAACTTTTTAAACAGGGGGCCAGTTCACTGTCCCTCAGACCGTTGGAGGGCCGGACTATAGTTTAAAAAAAAACTATGAACAAATTCCTATGCACACTGCACATATCTTATTTTGAAGTAAAAAAACAAAACGGAAACAAATACAATATTTGTATTTGCATGTGGCCTGCGGGCCGTAGTTTGAGGACCCCTGAACTAGATCATGCCTGGACAGGTGATGGATGCTTCGAGCAGAGTGGTGAGCGGAGACAGCAGTGCGGGTGTCAGCGTGGGGGAAGTGGCAAGACGTGCCAGGGAGGCAGAGCAGGAGACAGGGGTGGGTGCTGGGTGATTCAGAGATGGTGCTTACACTTCAAAATGCCTTTGCTTCCTCCTTTCACACTTGGGGCTTTTAGATCTTTGAGGAGGAAGAACTGCAGCTTTATCTCTTAAGTGTCTCTGTCCAGGCTAGGGAGAGCCTATACTATCAATAGGATGCCCGCGGCAAATTTCTGGCACCAACTCCGTAACTCCGGTCAGCCAAGTGTAACAGAAAGCCTGCGGAGGTGGCAAGAAGATGTAAGCGTGCAGAGAAAGACACAGAAGAGGCAGGCGATACAGCACAGAGGGGCGAGGCTGTGGGTGCCTCTGAGCCACTTGCTCATATGCCCTACCCGGGTCAGAGCAGGAATGGTCCCCTCAGTCTCCAGCGGTGTCTGCAGCCAATTAGAATCAGGCAAGGGTGAAACTGCTGAGAAGAACATTATAAAAACATAATACGTATCGTTTCTCCCAAAAAAGCCAGGGAAAGGAAACAGTGCCCAGGAGAAGCATGCCCACGAGCAAATCCTGTGCTTTTCGCCGTCTAAACCCGCGTTGGCAAAAGAAAACACACGCAAGTTAGAACTGCCCTTTGAGAGCAAAGTTTAATTCTGATCCAGGATTGTAGTAACTTTTTAAAGTCCTACTGATTACACCACGCTGTGTAGGAATTACTCAGTCTTTACTCCCCTTAACTTCTGAAAAACCAACCTGGCTAACCATACCCGGATTGAGCCGAGGAAGTAAAATGCATTTCTTTATCATTAACCACCACAGGAAGCTTCCATCCCAAGTTGCCTTTAGCAAAGTCCATTTTGCTTGCACTGGTTGTATTACCCTGATTTCTCTTCTCCCAATCTCTCTCTCTGTAAGAGAGAGATATACTGTGAAACGCCATCCCTTAAGTCTTGTTTTTCCCTTTCTTTGCCTTGGGGTCCCCTGGCCAGCGGAAGCCCCGCAGGTGCAGGCAGTCGGCCGCGTTGTGGGCGATGTAGTAGAGGTTCAGCATTGCCGCTGGGCTGAGGATGTCCACTTCCTGTTTCTTCTGCTTCTTCCCGCGAGACTTGGCCCGGCCTTTTCCTTTTTTCCCTTTACCTGGCTTTCAAAGACAAGTATATACATGGGGCAAAATTAGTGTTCAGAACCTTGGCATAATTTTCAACATATCCTATTGAACTTAAGAAAAATAAATAAATTCCTAACAGGAAAAATTGTAAGAGCCAAAAATTTTGCATGGAGTGGGGGAGAAGACACAGACCATGTAATTCACCAAATGCATATGAAGCACCGCTAGATTAAGAGAAACCCAACCTGATGCATGCGTGGACCTTGTTGCCATTCTTTTTGTTTTCTTTTTTTTTATTTTGAGAGAGAGAGAGAGACATCTATTTGTTGTTCCACTTATTTGTGCATTCATTGGTTGCTTCTTTATGTGCCCTAACGGGAGATGGAACCTGCAGGGCTTATCAGGACGATCCTTTAACCAACTGAGCTACCCAGCCATGGCTCTTATGTGCATTCTGATTGGAACAAACAACCTGTAACAGGACATTTGTTAGGTGCTTGGGGAAATTTGATAACATTGAGAAATTATTAATTCTATTAGGTCTGACATTGGCATTGGGTCATGCAAAAAATGTTTACCCATTTCAGAGAGGCACATTAAAATCAGTAGGAATGAAATAAAAGGAGGCCTGAGATTTGCTTTATTTTATTTTAAAATATATTTTTATTGATTTCAGAGAGGAAGGGAGAGGGAGAGAGAGAATCATCAATGATGAGAGAGAATCACTGACCAGCTGCCTCCTGCATACCCAACGCTGGGGATTGAGCCCACGCCACCTGGGTATGTGCCCTGACCCAGAATCAAACTGTGACCTCCTGGTTCATAAGTTGATGCTCAACCACTGAGCTACATTGGCAGGGTGAGATTTGCTTTTTTTTTTTTTTAAGTCCTCACCCCAGGCTATTTTCCCATTGATTTTTAGAGAGAGTGGAAGAGAGAGGGAAAGACAGAGAAATATCAATGTGAGAGAAACACATCGATTGGTTGCCTCCTGCACGCCTCTGGACCAGGGCCTGGGCCGGGAAGAAGCCTGCAACCAAGGTACACGCCCTTGACCGGAATCAAACCTGGGACCCTTCGGTCCACAGGCCGACGCTCTATCCACTGAGCCAAACCGGTTAGGGCAAGATTTGCTTTAAAATACTGCAGCTTCCACCCCTCTGCCCGCCTCAAAGACAGATGAAGCAAATGTGGCAAAACCCTAATAATCTCTAAATAATCATTTTACTATTATATTTTTGTATGTGTATGGAAACTTTCATAGTAAAAGTGAAATTAAAAACATTTGATAATCGGGATGCAAAGCTATATTTTGGCACTTGTTATGTGGTCGTCTCCAGCTCATTAAGCGGCCGTGAGGACTAAGACGTGACTATAAGGCACTGAGCGCGGAGGAAGCAAGCACTCAGCAAATGATTAGCGCCATCACTTCACCACAGCTAATCCTGAGACGGACACCAAGGGAAGTAGGTATTATTCAGCTCAGCAAGGTCATGGCAAACCCACAGCCACCAGGCTCAGTGCCTGTGTTTTTGCCACAACTACGCCGCCAGGCCGATGCGCGCTGGGAAAACGAACCTGGGAATAAACAACGCCCAGAGTTCTGCTAGAGCTGCACACAGCTGAGGTGACTTCTCTATGCCCTATGACCCCCCCCCTCCCCGCCCAGAAAATAACAGTTGGAATTTAGAAAGTGTCTGTTCTGGGCAAGGGAAAGCCGAGGAATGGGTAAGTTATTAAGGACCCCTGCAAGGGCTAAATATTCGTGTAAAATAGATGCTCTGCTCATAGCATGGCATCTTAAAAATGTCCCAAGCTAAACAAAGAGAAACATAGTCGATGTGTCAAAAACACTAAAACATATTTTTGTTAAGTGAAATGGAGTACATTGCTAGACATAAAACCCAGGAATGAAGATGAGAAGCATCTTGCAACACAGAGGCCTGGCTTGTGTGATGAAATTCAAATGAAAAGAAAGGATCTGGAAACCGGAAGATAACTGCATCCCTGATAAAACATGCCCTTGGGAATGTACGACCACAAGTTCTGAAAGATTTGGGGAACTTGGCTTTTTTTTAATGACTTTATACTTTTCTTGCATGTCAACCATACTTGACATACCTGGAATCACTGCAAAAAATGTATTTTGATCTCTAAAAAAGGTTTATAACTAAAATTCACACAAAAGTTTGGCATTTTTATTCACAGTATTCATCTCTTTGTAGAAATTGGCAAACTGATTCTAAAATTCATATGAAAATTCAAAGAACATATGATAGAGGGTTGACACTTTTATTCAGAGTTCTCATCTTTTTGTAGAAGATTCTAACATTCATATGGAAATTCAAAGGACTTTGAAAAAGAAGAACAAAGTTGAAGGGCTAATACTACTTTATTTCGAGAATTATTATAAAGCTACAGTATCCACACAGTATGGTATTGGTGTCAAGAGACCAACAGATCAATGGGACAGAGTGGAGCCCAGAAGTAGATCCACACATAGAGGAACAACTGATTTTCAACAAAAGTGCCAAAGCAATTCGGTGGAGCAAGGGTAACTTTTTAATGAATGTAGATAGAACAATAAATATCAATCTGCAAAAAAATGAACCTCAGTCCATACTTGCACCATATAGAAAAAGTAACTCAAAACGGCTCATAGAGCAGAATAAAAACCAGAAACTAAAAAACCTCTGGAAGAAAATAGAGGAGAAAACCTTTGTGACCTTGGGTTAGGCAAAGATTTCTTGGATATGACATGGAAAGCACATCTGTAAAAGAACAAACTGATAAATTCTTCAGCCCTGTCAGTGTGGCTCAGTGGACTGAGCGTCGCCCCATACACCAAGAGGTCATCGGTTCAATTCCGGTCAGGGCACATACCCAGGTTTCGGGCTCGATCCCCAGTAGGGGCGGGAGGCAGTCGATTGATGTTTCTCTCTCAGATGAATATTTCTATCTCCCTCTTCCTCTCCCTTCCTCTCTTTAAAAAACAATAAAAAACATATTTTTTAAAAAATAAATTGTTGCCCCAGCTGGTTTGGCTCAGTGGATTGAGCGTCGGCCTGTGGACTGAAGGGTTGCGGGTTCAGTTCTGGTCAAGGGCACATACCTTGGTTGCAGGCTTAATCCCCAGAGTGGGGCGTGCAGGAGGCAGCCAATCAATGATTCTCTCTCATCATTGATGTTTCTCTCTCTCTTTCCCTCGCCCTTCTTCTCTCTGAAATCAATAAAAATATATAAAGAATAAAAAATGATAAAAAATATATACAAATAAATGTTCTTTAAAAAATAAACTGTTAAGACATTTCTTTTTAAATCTTTTTTGGGTCAACTAGTACATTCTATTTTTTAAAATATTTCTTTATTGATTTCAGAGAGGAAGGGAGAAGGAGAGAGAGAGAGAAACATCAATGATGAGAGAATCATTGATTGGCTGCCTCCTGCATGCCCCACACTAGGGATTGAGCCCACAAACCAAGGGCAGGACCCCAGTCCTCTGGCTGCCTCCCTCGAGGCCAGACCCTGGGTGGGCACACATCGGCCTGGGTTACTGATCTGAATATGGAAACCAGCTCAGAACAGCGAGGACAAAGGAGATGGAGAACCCCTGGGTAACGCCTGGACGTAGGCTACGGCCAGAATCCAGGCAGATGGCAAAGAGGGCCTGACAGCCAGTGGCAGTGAGGATAGGAGGCAGGTTGCAAGAGAGTGGATGAAGGCTGAGGAATAGGAGTGCTTGTGTTTGAGGTCAGAAGGATGAGCGTGCTATCGGGTCGTGCCAGTGAGGCCTGAGAAGGCAGTGGTTAAAAGAGCTGGGTCTTTAACACAGTTTGAAAAGGCTCTCTGGTGGCAAGATCCAGGTGGAAGTTGAAAATGGAGGTTTGACATTTGAGGCTTAACATGTGAGCCGATGACATGGAGGTGAGATAAAGGATGTTGCAAATTTTCCTGGGCATAAAATGCAAAAATTTCTTACATAAAAGGTCTCCTTCAAAGCCTTTCCTTAAACTGGAATTCCTTAAAATTAGCCAGCGGCCCTAACCGGTTTGGCTCAGTGGATAGAGCGTCGGCCTGCAGACTGAAGGGTCCCGGGTTCGATTCCAGTCAAGGGCATGTACCTTGGTTGTGGGCACATTCCCAGTGGGGGGTGTGCAGGAGGCAGCTGATCGATGTTTCTCTCTCATCAATGTTTCTAACTCTCTATCCCTCTCCCTTCCTCTCTGTAAAAAAAATCAATAAAATATATTTTAAAAATATTTTAAAAATATATTAATTTAAAAAATATATTCGTATTGATTTTATTAGGGAAAGGGGGAGAGAGAGAGAGAGAAACATCAATGAGAGAGACATCAACCTGCTGCCTCCTGCATGCCCCCTTCTGGAGGTTGAGCTGCAACCAGGGCATGTGCCCTGAGGGCCAATCCTACCTGCGACCTCTTGTTGGGTCAAGGCTGAACCACTGAGCTACACCGGCCCCGGCTGGGCTCATTTTTCAAATCCACAGATAAGAACCCCGCACGGGACCAGGGCAGCTGCAGCAGCAGCAGTTAAGTGCCTGGCCAGTCCCTGCTGGCGACGAGGGGTTCCACACCACGTGACCAGACTCTATTTGACACATAAGCCATCTTCTGGGTGAAAATAAGGGGCTCAACAGAACCCAGGAACTAAAACCAACCGGCTCGTAGCGGGCTCAGCCTGGTTCTGATGCTGCAGTCAGTCCTCTTCAGCGCAGACCCCCCGGGGAACCCTCTCCCCTTCATCTTTACCCAAGTGTTCAGGTCGCGGGGCTGGGCACCACCCACACCGCGAGGAGCTGAAGGCGCCAATCGCGCGGCGTGGATAAGCAAATCTCTCTAAAGGTGGATTCTACAAGGCAGGCGGCGTGAAGCTCATTTAGCAAGAGCCTCGGAGTCTCTCATACTTAAAAGAAGGCATGTATTACCATGGTAACGCCTTTCTCAGTTGAGCAGGTGAGTGTGGCATGTACTCCCAATCAGGGCATGAAGAGAGCGCCCCCAGGTTTTCCTGTCCCCCTAGGGGGGGGGGGCCCCCCCGCCCCTTTCTGCCGCGGCCCCCGGTCCGGGACCGCCCCCCGGTTCCTTCCACCCGGCTGCCTCCGGCGTGGCTTGTCGGCTGCGAGCCACCGAACTGCCGCCACGCCGGGCCGAGCACCCGCCTCTCCGCGGCGCGGAGGTCGCAGGCTGCAGACTCGCCGCGAGCACAGAGGAGGGAGCAGACACGCGGGCCGACGCCGGCAGCCAGGAGCCCAAACGCCAGGCGGCGCGCAGAGGGGGCGGGGCCGCGCATTGTTTACCCGTTGCCAGGACACCGGGGCCCGGCGCTCCACCGTCCTGCCCCGCCCCGTCCGGCTGGCCCAGCGCGCGTCCTGGAACCCGCGCCGCCTTCCTTTCAGCGACCGCTGTGCCCTGCCGGCCGGACAGCCTGGCTGGGCCATTTTACCTCGCGCAGTGGCGACCGCGGCTACGGCCACGAGCGCCTAGAACCCCGGCTCGGCGAGAGGCGTCCGGGTTTGGGCGGCTGGACCCAGCTCGGTGCCCGGCAAGGCGGTGCTGGCTGGCTGTGGTACTGGTGTCGGAGTGGGCCCACTCGGTGTGAGTCTGAGCCTGGCCACTCCACTGGCTGACTTTGGAGAAGTCTCAGAAGACTCCGCGACCTCTTGGAAAGTGAGATAAAGCTTTGAGAGTTGAAGTGAGAATAACATGGGGAAATGTTTGTGAAAGAACCTGATACAGACCCCCCAGTGAGTACGAGCCTGAAAGTTCGTATAATCTGCGTGGATTTAGGCAAGAAGGGGTAGAGTAGGTGCAGTCCCGCTTCCAACCTCTCGAGTTCATCCTCCTCTCTGAGGGGAAGGCTACAGTTTGGGAGCAGTACCGTCATTCTTTTTTTTTTTTTAAATATATTTTATTGATTTTTTCACAGAGCGGAAGGGAGAGGGATAGAGAGTTAGAAACATCAATGAGAGAGGAACATCGATCAGCTGCCTTCTGCACACCTCCTACTGGGCATGTGCCCGAAACCAAGGTACATGCCCTTGACCAGAATCAAACCTGGGACCTTTCCGGTTAGGGCCGACGCTCTACCCACCGAGCCAAACAGGTTAGGGCCCGTCATTCTTCTTCTTTTAAAATGACTTATTCCTTTAAAAAAAATTTATTGATTTTAGAGAGAGAGGAAGGGGAGGGGGGAAACTGGGATTGGTTGTTCCATTTAATTATGCATTCATTGGTTGATTTTTAAAAAAATAGAAATTTATTTGTATTTCAGAGAGGAAGGGAGAAGGTGAGAGTGATAGAAACATCAATGAGGAGAGAGAGTCATTGTTTGGCTGCCTCCTGCATGCCCCACACTGGGTATCAAACTCACAACCTGGGAATAGAACTGTGACCTCCTGATGCATAGGTCAATTTAGCCACACCCGCTGGGCTGGATGATTCTTGTATGTGCCCTGACCAGGGATCAAACTGATCAAACCCCAAACCTTGGCTTATTGGGATGATGCTCTAACCCACTGAACTACAGGGCCAGTGTTGGGGTCCAACTCCAGCAGGTCCAAGGGTCCCCAAAGGTGTGGACGGAGTCGGCGAAGAAGGAATGACACGGAGACAGGGTTCAGTTCATCAGCATAGGGAGGCTCTCCAGCCAGGATCGAGCCAGGATCTCCAGCCAGGTTCTCTCGCCAGGTTCTCTTGCCATGTTCTCTCGCTAGGTTCTCCAGCCAGGTTCTGTCCAGGATCTCCAGCCAAGTTTTGTTGTTAGGTTCTCCAGCCAGGTTCTGTCTTTTTTAAAAAAAATATATTTTTATAATAGAGACCATTATAAACTTTTGAACAATAATAGATACAGAGACAGAGCTGCCTCAAACAGATTGTCAAACTGCAGCGGGAAGGTCGGGGAGGGTTGGGGGCCAGGAGGGAAGGGGGTAAGAGATCAACCGAAGGACTTGTATGCATGCATATAAGCATAACCAATGGACATAAGACACTGGGGGGTAGGGGAGGCCAGGGGATTGTCAAGGGCGGGGGAAAAAAGGACACATATGTAATAGCCTTTGTAATACTTTAAGCAATAAAAAAATTAAAATATATATATATATATATATTTTTATTGATTTCAGGGAGGGAGGGAGGGAGGGAGAGAGATGGAAACATCAATGAGGAGAATCATTGATCAGCTGCCTCCTGCACGCCCCTTACTGGGGATCAAGCCTGCAACCCGGCATGTGCCCTTTACTGGAATTGAACCCACCACCCTTCAGTTTGCAGGCCAACTCTATCTACTGAGCCAAACCAGCTAGGGCGTGTTCTGACCCAGTTTTGGGCACAGTCGCAGCACCCTCACCTGGCCTGGCCCAGTCCCCCTGCCCCACCCAGTGCAGGAGGCAGTCCTATGAAGGCCCTCCTATCACCAGGCACAGCTTGTGATCCAGTGACAAAGCCTTTCAGGGAGGTATAAGGGGCAGGGTGGGGTGCGGGGGG